CAGATTATGTCTCAGGAGGAGTGTTGCTACAATATGATGAGTGTTAGGCTCAGCGTCCGACCGAGCCCGACCGAAGGCCGGTGCCCGGTTAGACTCGACGTCGGATTAAGCTCGGCGCCCGATTAGGCCTAATCCATATCACGTGACCACACGACCATGCAGGTGGTTATAATCCACGCAGGCCCCCAGCACCCCCTTTCATCCCATCAAGCTTAGTATTTCGTTATATAGCAGTTAGCAACGCAGAGAGAGTCTTTCTTCTTATGCAGCTCGCATTCGCTCCCTAACACAATACTAAGCTTCCCTTCTACCTTCTCACTCAGGTTTCAGCAGAAAACTTGAGTGCCTCAGTTGAATTAGAACCTGCTAGTTCAGAGCCTGACAACGCGTCAGATCAACTGCCAAGACAACAGCACTGTTGAAGACAACGGCTCAATCCAACATCAGATGGCCACCACAGGCTCCCAACCCCCTGGAAGGGGCCGAAAGGACTGGCGATACCTCCTAACAAGACCAACTGACCAACCACGCGTCTCAATTGAGGAATTCAGAGAGGCAATCCACTCAGACAGCGACCGTGTTTATAATGAGTTGGCGGCGATCTTTGATGGCATCTTTGACGATGAAAAAACACTAAGGGATACAATCACACGTCTGAGGATGGAACGGAACAACGCCACTGACCAGGCCGCTGTCAAGCAAAGCCAGATTGATGAGCTAATTGCTGAACGCGATGAACTTAGCCACACCCTGGTCCGCATGACAGTCAGCAACCAAGCAGCAAGTCGAGGTGTCACCCCCTCTGAGACTACCCGGAGGTCTGTCAAGATTGATGACCCAAAACACCTCACTGACGGCAAGGAGCCAAAATTTGAACACTGGCTCTCCCGGATGAAGAACAAGCTCCGGGAGAACGCTGACCACTACCCTACTGAACGCATGAGGATTGCATACATCGAAAACCGGACTGATGGGGACGCGGCACGTCACATTGCGCCCCGTATGGAAGAGGACCACCCCGAGCGATATCAGACTGCAGAAGAGATATTTGAGCACCTCAAGTCAATATATGAGGATGCTAACAAGCTGCAAAATGCCAAGAGTGATTATTGCAAGCTGATTATGCGCAATGGGGACAATTATCATGAATTTGTCACAAAATTCTTACACCTGGCAGGTGAGGCCAAGATTGCCAGGGGGGACTACAAGACAGACTTCAATGACAAGCTGTCCTTTGACCTCCAGAAGATGGTAGCAGTAGCCAATGCGACCACTGATACATATGCTGAGTTTCAGAAAATCTGTGCGCAGGCAGCTCACACCCTCCAGACAATCAATGCCACCCAGAAATCAAAGAGCTCGCGGGGAAATGGGCCTAATACCTTCAAGCAGAACACCCTGCGGACCGCCAACAGTCAAACACCCCCCAGCATCTCTACAACAAAATCCCCTACTGTGAAGGAGGCCTTGAGCTCTCGTCCGGATATTCAGTGCTACTACTGTAAGGAAAAAGGCCACATTGCCAGGAACTGCCCCGCAAAGCAGAAGTCCCAGCAGGTGATTGCTGAGCTCACAGGGAATGATGCCCCTGAGCCTTCAGCAGATTCGGGAAAAGAGTGAGCCTGAGAGAAGACTCCACCTCAGGTAGTTCAATAGTCTGTGAGAGGTTTGAGATGAAGGACTTGATTGGGGGGAAAAGCTTTAATGTGCCAATCAAATTAGCCTACAATGGAATTGCTACTTCTACAAATTCTCTTGCTGATACTGGAGCAAATGGAGCGAATTTTATTGATACCCGATATGCCATAGAATTGGCAAGATTCTTTGATAGGAAGTTTCAAGAACTCCCATTCAAATGCCGCATGAAGGGATACAATGGCGCCCCCGGCGGGGTGATAGACCGCACATTGACCCTAAACCTCTGGGTGGATGGCCGGAGATTTCAGAATGTCCCTCTGCTGGTAACAGACCTAGGCCAGCACCCTGTCATCCTGGGACGGAAGTGGTTGGCAGCACAGGATATATGGCTTGATGTTAAAAACCAACGCCTGGTTTGGCCGAGTGAACGGTCTATCCCTGAACAGGTGGCGGAGCCGATGTTGAAGATAGTACCCTGGTCAGTACTGAAGCGCCCAGACCCCAAGCCTGAGCATCAGGCGGATGTGGAACGAAGAGAGATCAAGCTGGATGAGGAGATCAGACAGGAGCATCAGGCTCAGCTCCGCAGATTGAAAGGGACCAGCTCAGTCGTGATGCCTGAGACGAGGCAGGGGCTGACCTGGGAGGAGACAGCACCACAGATGATGGATATGAACTTCATTGGGGCTGCTTCCTTCCATGGTTATATGAAGAACAAGAAGTCAACAGTCTTCATAACCAGTCTGTATGAAATTGATAAACAGCTTGAGGAGAAGCGGGGTTTAGTGGGAGCTGAGGATGAGTCTGATGAGGAGCTGATCAGCAACTTACCAGAATGGTTGAAAGGCCGGGAGGACTGCTTCTCAAAGAAAGCATCAGATGAACTGCCCCCCCTACGGAAGAATGTTGATTTTAAAATAGAGCTCCAGCCTGATGTTGACCTCACCCAGGGCATTGGACATGCGCCTCTATATAAGATGAATCTAGAGGAACTAGAGGCAGTGAAGACCTACCTTGAAGCCAACCTAGCAAAGGGTTTCATCACCCCAAGTTCAGCCCCCTACGCCTCCCCAATCCTGATTGCCCGTAGTGGGAAGAAGCTACGATTCTGTGTTGACTTTCGCAAGCTGAATGCTATAACCAAACGAGATCAGTATCCCTTGCCCCTGATAGATGAGCTGATGGACCGACTCAATGGGGCGAAATACTTTACAAAGTTGGACATTCGGCAGGGGTTCCATCGCATCCGAATGGACCCTGAGTCTGAGGACCTGACCACCTTTAGAACCCGCTACGGGACCTATAAATATCGGGTGGTCCCCTTTGGCCTTACAAACGCCCCTGCCTGCTTTCAACGGTTTGTTAACAGTATCTTCTTTGACTACCTGGACAAGTTTATGACAGCATTCATGGATGATCTTCTAATCTATAGCAAGAATCTGGAGGAGCACAAGCAGCAGGTAAACTCAGTGCTAGACCGACTAAAGACAGCGGGTTTGCAAGCCAGCATCCAGAAATGTGAGTTTGCAGTCCAGAGGACAAAATACCTAGGGTTCATCATCAGTACAGAAGGGATTGAGGCAGACCCAGAGAAGACAGCTGCCATTGTGAGATGGCAGGCCCCCACCACAGTCAAAGGAGTCCAGTCATTCCTAGGATTTGGCAATTTCTACCGACGATTCATAAGGAACTACAGCCGAATCGCAAAGCCACTGTACCAATTGACAAAGAAGACTACCCCATTTGTGTGGACATCAGAATGCAAATCAGCCTTTGAAAAACTGAAGAGGCAGCTGGTGGAGGCTCCAACACTGCGTTACTATGACCCTGAGCGGGAGACTCGTATTGAGACTGACGCCTCTGACGGAGTAGTGGCTGGGGTACTAAGTCAAAGATTTGAAAATGACCTTTGGCACCCAGTAGCCTTCTATTCAAAGACAATGAATGGTGCAGAGCTTAATTATGAAGTTCATGATAAGGAAATGCTGGCAGTAGTCCGGGCCTTACAAGAATGGCGGGCAGAGCTTGAGGGACTACAACGGGAGGAACGATTCAAGATCCTCACTGATCATCGTGCACTGGAATACTTCATGACTACCAAGAAGCTGAATGCACGTCAAGCCCGCTGGGCAGAGTTCCTCTCCCGTTTCTACTTTGAGATCAAGTATCGACCAGGCAAGGCCAACCTGCTAGCAGACGCACTGAGCAGGCCTGAGCAGGTTAGAAGGCAACAGGACGGCCGTATGCAGATCCTCCTAGGACCAGAGACCCTCGACCCCCAGATCACTCCCTCTACAGACATTGCTAGCATCAACTCCTCAGAGAAAGAGAGCATTGCTGAATGCATAGTGTCTCTAAACAAGACAGCCACCTCAATTGAGCCCCTGCGGCAGCAGGCAGATGATGAGAATAGTCCCTATACAATGGAGGACAATGTGCTACGGTACAATGGAAGACTAGTGGTGCCTGTTCAGGAAAAGGAAACCCTGATAGCCAAGCTACTGCAGGAAATTCATGATCAAGCTTCAACAGCACACCCTGGAGGACGAAAGACCCTGGCCCTGGTGCAATCACGCTATTGGTGGGCCACCTGGCGGACAGACGTCCTACGCTATATTCGGAACTGCCATGTGTGCCGGATCAGTAAAATTCCAAGAGATAAGACTCCTGGTTTGCTAAAGCCATTACCAATACCAGAACGGGCATGGCAGCATATTGCAATGGACTTCATGGACGTGCCGAAAAGCAAAACAGGTTATGATGCCATTTTGGTCATAGTATGCCGGCTAAGCAAGAAGACAATCTCCATTCCAACCACCCGGGGAGTTACAGCCCAGGAGCTGGCCCGACTATTTATTCGATTCTACTATTCATACAATGGGGCGCCTGACTCAATTGTCTCTGACCGAGGCCCCCAGTTCATATCAAGCTTTTGGGATGAGTTTACACAGATCCTGGGCATAAAACTGAAACTCTCAACGGCGCATCATGCACAAACTGATGGACAGACAGAAGTGGTGAATCAATACATTGCCACCCGTCTTCGCCCCTATGTCAGTTACTACCAAGACGACTGGGATGAGTGGCTGCCCATTATAGACCATGCCTCCGCAGCTACCCCAAACGCTTCCACAGGGATCTCCCCCTTCCTCGCAGCAAATGGATATGAACCCCGAATGTCATTTGACTGGCAACCACTGGCGAGAAATTGGACATGAATGAGAAAAGAAATCGAGAAGCAGCAAGGAGCTTCATTCA